AAGAATTTCGATTTACCTGGATTGAAAAGACTACCTAAGAAAGAGTGGAAACAACTAAGCTTTAGAACATGATGAATGAAATTTTAAACTAAAAATTCTACTGTCGCCTACGGATAAAAAATTTGCTTAATTCTGCGTAAACAAACCCATCTTACAAACCCGAGATGCGATTGAAAATTAATGGCAGTGATTATTTCTGACAAAATCCACTTAAGAGTTTATGAAAAGGCTTTTAGTCAACTAGGACACAAATTATTGACAGAAATTGGTGTAAAAAATCAGACGATAGCAATTAAACTTAGGCTTTCTACATTTCAACCGTAGTAAAGACGGTACAAAATAACTCACAGAAAATGCGGCAAAATTATTCAATCGATTGGAGTGAATCAAAATTTCCGAATCATGACACCGAAAATCAATGTGTAACGTTTCAACCTTTTGGGCAAGTTCCCTTAAAATTACTCTCCTCTGAAGTCTTTTAGTGGATAATGTCGCCAGCAAATTTTTGTCTAATTTCGACAAAACTACGGTTTAGTGAATTGGTAAATCAGTGGTTTCATTGAAAAACCAACCTAAAATAGCATTGGTTAAACTTTTTAAAATTGTGCTATCATTAAGGCAATTAAAATTTTCATAACTCCTACTTTTGTAGTTAATTTCAATTTACTGCAATATTAGGATACATTAGACGTCATTAATAGGCTAGGATTGTTATTTTACTACTCCATTTCATTGCATCGCACTAAAACATGGAAAAAAGAGTGCAGGGCGAATTTGAATTCCTTTCAAGCCAACACAGTTTTAGGTTAGTTGAGACAAAATTTGAACACGCCGTCCAGGGAGATAAAAATTGTGCGGAATGGGTCACTATTACTGGGTAAATTAAAGACTAGGCCTAGTTCCCAAAAGGTTTGAGTCTAGTCACTTGATAAGGTAACGCAGGAAATTAAAGCAGTACTCAGATTTCGACTGTCTGATAATAGCACCAAACTTACTATTGCAGACTAATTAAAAGTTACACCCATAGCATGACTTCCCCCGGAAATATCTGAAAAACACCCACGACAAGGGAAAAATGTTTAATAATGCAGATATCGACGTTTCTGTAGTATGACAGAGCTTGATCAAAATTAGGCGCCATGTTGATTTGTGCCTTCCAATCTAACTTCTTTCGTTAAATTTTCGAAGAACAGACCCGGAGTCGAAAATGTTGGCTGATTACTTTTGCAGGCGAATGTGACGTGCTCTTTACTTATTAGAGGCCTCTCTTATCTTAAAAATGCTTGGTTTTCGCGTAATCTGTACGCATAACTCATTTTCTCTGCACGCTACCAAAACTAAAGTTAACCATTTATCAAAAATTCTACCAAGAAACCTGCGGAATTTTTCTCTGATTGTCCCTAGTCTTGTCATCTTTTTCGAAATTAAGTTCTCTTAACTGATGCCATATAAAAAGAATCCCACAAAATCCTTCTGACGTTAAAATTTGATTCTCTACAACAGTTACAGTTACGCAAAATTTCCACTTTGTATTTTATTCCAAGTTGATGTTTAAGTTTACGAGCTACTCATTTCGTCATTACTACAGGATAAGGATTTAAAACAATTGGGTTTAGAGAATTGAACAGACACAACACCCAGCCACTGAAACCAGTTCTGATAACAGTCCTTTCACCGATTGGTTACCGCAAGCAGGAAGAAAAATGAACGTATTCATTTATTTTAACTAAAGTGGTCGCCTTTTAAAGGTCTGACCCACGGTTGACCTCGGCAACTTGTTGTCTAGACTGATCAACTACGGCTGGTTTGAAAGCTTGACCCAAACCATAGCAATTCAAAAACGGTGTCAAGTCATCTCAAACAAGTTTTCTTCAAGTCTGACACTTGAAATTTCCTTCATGACATAACTGTAGTGAAGTGTCAGCGAATGAGCGTGCGTAGAGTTCATTTACGAGTTGATCAGATGCCATTTACTATTGATTATAATTGACAATCAATAATCACGCCTGAGCACACTTGTAAAACGACTCTTAGCTGGTCTGAGGCTAATAAACGACCGTACCTGTTGTCGCCTGTCTTGACTTTATCCTCGGTTTGTTAAGGTCTGCTAATCGGCAGTTTGAAGGAGGTGCAAGACAACTTTTTGGGGCAATACCTCCACAACCAAAATGTTCTCCCTCAAAATGCCCTTTTTCAAGTGCTTAGTGCTGGGCTCTGCTTCGAAAAGCAATCGCTTTTCAAGGGTACCACAATTTTTATTATCTCGAACAAATTTCTGAGCCATTTTTCAGCATTCTTTTTACCAATGTTTCAAAGGCGAAATTACTTACCGTTATGACACTACGGTGTGAAATCTGTTGGACAACATTTTTTCATCTGGCCAGATAAACTTTCATCAACTTTTGCCACATATCTTGATCATTCGACTAAGCTACGTGTTTATTCTGTAGCCCAACTGTCCTACAGGGCTGTTTAGTTCGCAGTGTTTTAATCACCAAACTATAATTTTCCATTTTGGGAAAAAAACCACGATTTGATTGGCTCCACGTTCCATCATCACGTGCTTCTCGTGACCCAACTTTTGGAAATAAAGCAAATTTTATCAACCGACTTTCTTTTCTAAACCAATCCCAGCCACAGGAAATCCTCATTCGACAGATCCAGGTTTGCATTTTCCAACTCTTAAGTTCGTTAGCCAAGTTGCGCTTAAATGTGCTTCCGTGAGAGAACACCCCTGTCGTTGAGGCACTCGCAATCCTCACGAAACACCAGTTCAAACAACTTCACAATCCACTGCTTCCATAACTTCGCTTTCGAAAATCACACTCAAACGAATTCCACTGCCTGCACCAGATTTTCAGACTTTCAACCAACGGCATTCACTCTGTCAATCTGAATAATCCTGTCCTGGCAATGTCAGCCTTCCCCTAGACAAGTACCTTCGTGAAGTGGAGATTTTTCGAAGCTCTATTTACACCTCTCACTTCAAACATTTCCCTTAACCATTTCACCTCAACTGTCACATCTTTTTCTTGTCAAGGTCATAAAAGGTACACATAAGCTGTTCATTCCGCTATATTACTTCAACTTAAAGACTCTCTACACGGGATCCAGTCTTGTAGTAGTTTGGGGAGGCGTTTGTTCATACGTGTTTTGCTTAAGGTGTTAATATGGGTAATGAGTTAAACAAGGTGGGTTTCAATTATTCGTGCTTGAGGCTTCCAAACTTGCTGACCCAGTGTGCGAGGCGCAGCGTTCTGCAACGTCCTGAGCTCCCTTGTAATTCTCAGGAAGTCGATCTCATCGTGGCTGGGAAAGGGAATTAAAGTGTGGCAAACAAGTATTGATCGCGCCGTTAGCACACATTTTGTCGCCACCTCTTTACCCTCACTGCGCTTCATGACTGCCATTGACAGTACTACTGCAGTTTGTATTTCTCATCGCACACTGTTTCATGAATCAAAACTATCAACAAACTTTGTAGGCGAAATGGGTTCCATTTTCGCATTGTCATAAGTACATAAATAGCCGAATCTTCACACATCACAGAGAATTTGGGTAGATGTTACACACATTCGAGATGTTCCGAGTTGCAGCAACCTTCGTTATCATCGATTTGGAAAATTCTCCAAGACATCCCACAACACAGATCCTTTTCTAGCTTCCATCCCAAACTTCTTCGACAGCCATGATCCACACTACCGTCCTGTTCAAGAAAACGCAAACTCTTTCGTCTCCATCATTATTACTTATTCGTTAATCATCTTAAAAAACAGCACACCTTACGCTCACTTCCTCAGTAAAAAAAAACAACATTTGCAGTAGAATTCGACAAGGTGATTCAGCCCAATTTCTGCAGAAATCCAATCAAATATCATGAGGAATTTAGCTTCAGGGCTACGAAATGGTAGCGAATGTTGGATGGCAAATCAGACACTACTGTTAAGCGAGTGCGCTGCGTCATTAATGTTATTACCTAAAAACCTAATGTCCAGCTAAATCCCCCCGACCCTAAGTCCAACACGCAAATATGAAATAAAAGACCAAGTAGTAGAAAAGCCTACAGGCGCGTTTAAGAAGCAAAAGTAGATCCTAGGGGAGGTGTGGTGGGCCAATCGTTGTCATATTGCGCAACTAAACAAAGTACTTTATTTCCAGTAAATATTTCAAGCCCTCGGTTGTTGGACATGCTAGTTTTGAGAGAATGGATAAGGATATTTACAAGTACATTGAGGAAGGAATTTGCGTGAACTTGAGTCAAGAAGTCCCCAGTGTGGCAATTGTGTTAATACACTTAATGACCATCCAAACATCCTACTAATGCTTCCATGTGCATGTGACTTTATAACACTTTTCGAGAATTCCTGCCCACAATTAACTCTTGTATTAGGCTTGCTTTCGCGTCTTTGAACATGACCTCGGAAGCATGGTGCGTACTTCTTCAAGACTACCCGAGACGATCGACACACTAGTCCAATGAATGATGATCTTTCCCATTTTCTATTTGATAAGCAACGCTATTTAATGACTATAATCAACCCAAATTGCATTGTCTTCACGTGTTGTCTGCCGACAGTCTTATTAACCTGTGGTAAATCCTTGCGGTAGATAGCTCCAACCCTTTCCTACTGTAAATGTCTCATGAGTTTCCATACAGCAAAGTGAGTTCACCCGCATAATCCAAGTCACTTATTATATACGAAGAGAAATCCATGTTGCCAAGAGAAGGTTTTTAACTATTTCGATTCAGTTTCCAGCGTGCACACTACTCATAAATTAAATTCAATCACTACGGCCCCGCTTTTTTTGTTGACCACGTATAAGGAGGTGCTTATTTGTGCCGATTTCGGACAATGCTGCATAAGTCCCTGCATCAGCTCGACGTAGTATACCCAACAAGTAGAACAGTTACATCGTACAAAATTAGTGTTTACAAAAAATACCAGTAATATGTAAAACATGCTTCTGTACACGCACACACGTAGCAAAACACAAATACCCTAGTTGCGTTCACCGAGCTGCGCCGAGTCGATGCGACTTCTCTTCCGTGCCAACTCCTCGACAGCCTCCGACCTTGCGGTCAGTTCCAGTGTCTGTTTAGCAACCATGGAGGGCTCTAGGCGCTCGTGGAGTCGTGAGAACCACTTGTCGAGGCTGGTGCGTTCACTTTGCCCGATCCGGAAGAGGGCCATTTCAAGTTCTTCCAATCTGCAAACAAAAAAAACAATGACAAGTACACTCGCCATGCTATTGTCTTTCTTATTCCAACACCTTGTTTATTTTGACTATCTCCATTAGTTCTTATTCTAGGTTATGCAGAGGCTATTCGTCTTGAATTTTTATAGATTTGGGACTAAAAGTAGTCAGGATAACAAACTTCACCCGTATTTACACATTGACGCGCTCTAATTAAGCCGCTGCACTGCAGTTAATCATGCGGTATGTCAAAAACACCATATACTTATTAAAATTAAGTGCAAGATTTCAGCGCCAGTGAGTCAAAATTTCGTGTTTAGAAAGGGGAGGCTTTTTCTTCGCACATTGCCCGCTAGGCATAAAAACTAAGCTTGTGCAAAGTAAACCAGGAATCATTTTAAAATGGACAAATAAATTTCAACCGCACTTGATCTGTACCCAAGTCTAGCGGAGAAAAAAGCATTTGATTAGTATTTATTTGCAACTGATCACAACGGTGGAACGAAAGAGGCGTTGGCCAATTTTCTGCGGCCCGCAATAACTTTGCACGACCCAAAGAGAAGTGAGCAGCAATCAAGCGTGATCGATAAACCAGCTCAACCCGAGGGAACGGTGTTTACCTAGCCGTGAGTTGTGTTCACTCGGGTTTATCGACCGCACGGGCAACGTTCCTCGGCTGCGACCGTTTTATTTCCCATTTCCGAAGACTCAACATATAACAAAGGGATTGGAAGCTAAGGTATTTAACGCACCGTTATTTTGGAAGTTGATACATCACACAGGTAAAAAACGTTCAATTTTCATTAAGATTTTGCGTTATTGAACTGTACCATGTGTACCTTCCCACCATGAGCACGTTAACCACGTCTAGGCAAAACATCTGGGTAAGCTGAAGAATACTTGAAAAGAAAAAAAAATACCTGGAGGTTAGCGCGAGGACAGACACCCTACTGGCATTAAGAGCGGTCTCCATGAGGCTTTTAATTCGTCGCTGAAGAGTTAAAAAAAACACGAAATCAAGTTGTGACAGAAGAGGGATTACCTTCTCTTACAGCCCAGGCGTGTAGTCCAAAACCACGCCGGGGCCACTGCGTCAAATCTAACCCGATCGCGCTACCTTGATACCCGCGAAGATGAAGAAGACCGGAGAGGGCGTGGGTTATCGAGGCTTAAACCTCACCAAGCACGAATCGATAGTCTTTCCTGCGCAAGAAACTACTTCGCACTCGCTATTTCGGATTTCCATGGATGCTCTAATTTCGCTTTCCAAGGCAAATCAGTTGAAGGCAACTGTAATGTGCCCTCTGGATTCGTAATCGTTAAGACTGCTGAATAAGCAACCAAAACACCAAATTTGTGGAACCAAAGCAACATAAGGAAAGCCTGCTTATGTTTCAAGTTGTTGTAAAAGCACTGCCGGCTTACAAGATTTTTATTTTTTAAAAAGTCATGATTTAAAAAAAAATACTTCTTTGTGAGCATGGCCATCGATGAAACTGATATAATTGGCGAACATGATATCCTAGGCTACAATGAGAGACGAGCATTTTAATAAGTACTATCTAGGACACTTGTTATTTAAAAAATGGACACTAATTTGCACCAGCCTGATGCTGATTCTTTTTTCACACTTCGTGAAGCAACGATAACGAATTTACGAAGCTGCTCGCCCTAATCCTGCTACTAAAATAACTTCAGTAGACGGTTTCCGAGTGCCTTGTAGTACAAACCTGTAACTCAACGGCTCACTAAATTTATTTTGAAAAGAGCGATCAGGCAAAGCAACAAGGAGGAATGACTAACGATGTTCTGATTAATCACATTCAGCTGATAGGAAAATAATCACGTTTTTTATCAATGACTCCCATATAGAAATACGGCTAGATCAATATTACCATGAATGGCGCGATAGTCACTAAATTTAATTAACAAAAGTCATTTTTATATCATTCCAGTGGTACAAAATTCTCGTGTCATGGAAATGAGAAGAGCTTAAGAGGAATTTCCAGCAACTGAGTATTTTTCAACTGTTTGTGGATGCCATAAATCGTTGACAATGAATGTGGTTTTTGAAAGTTTAACTTTTCAAAACTGAAACGATATCATAATGCTTTAGACGTAACTTGGGGATTTGAAAATGGGTGGTCAATATGAAAAATATGGCATCAAATATACCAGTTACATTAAAAAAACTGTCGAAAATGGCACGACCTACTTGAAACGCATTTTCTAAAGTACTGAGGACGGCAGCCAGCTCCGAAGATGAAAGGCCTGCTAAGTGGCAACCAAGGGAATAAAAGTGAGGGCACTTTTTCCGAAGGTCGACAACCCATGGGTCGGCAGCGAAAACCCCGCGATAACTTTCCTGTAATTTTTTAATTAAAAGAGGCTTAAAAACAATGAGGCGACTTTACAGTATGGCTAGTCAAGATGTCCTGACTTTTTCGATAACTGTGCTCTCAATTACAAAAAACCTTCAAGAATATGTAACTTTCACTCGTTTCCTGTAGGAACAATTGAGGAAATGTGGTGAAAACGTGTGAGAACTTGGATGGCTGTCAGCAAGAAAGAAGGAAAGATTTAAAATCCGATAGACAGGCAACAACGACTACCGCAACAGGTCTAGCTAAGTACCACTTGGCAATCTGTAATCAGTTGATCTGGATAAGTCTGTTAAAGTTTGGGAGATAGCTACATGATCACGTTTTGATTAACCAATACCAAGAAAGCGAACTGGATTAATTTAGATTTAAATGCATCTTGCAGTGCTACGTACACAGACGTAGACTATAAAGAAACTTGGTGACATCGTCTGACAACTGACCAATTCAAGGTTGCTCTAATCGAAATCATGAAATTTCGACAGCAATTCAAGCAACGCTAATGGGCTATAATAATTACTACTACTTATACCAAGAGGCATTACAAACAGATACACGTTGATGACTTCAGATTGCCAACATTCAACCACATACTCTGTAAATTATAGGTAGGTCAACAGAAAGTAACTGTCTCCCACTACTGCCCATGCTGAGAATTAACCAAATTGGTAGTTCTAGTTTCGTTCCTTTTGGAACATCGTTTGAATCACTTTCGACGGTTGAGTCGTCGCCATCGGTATGCCGACGCCTTGATCCATGATGGGATCCAATAAGTAGAGGTGAGATCTTCGGTATGACACTCCGAACTCTGCACGGCAGTCGCTCACTAGTTGCCAATATGTCGTTGATGTTGAAATACGACCCGTGATGTGATAGCGACAGCGTCCAATCAAACGCTCTAAAACCTCGAGAATCAACAATCATTCTAACAGCTGATTCAACCGCAAAAAAAAGGAAGAGGACAACGCACCAACGCAGCAGCCAGACCCAATAGGAGGGTAAAAAGACATAAACCAATCGTTTGTAGGCAAATTATTTCACTAAATGCAGCTAATAAAATAGCTAAAAATTATTTATAAGCCCCATTATTTGTTCATTCAATCAATTCCAAATATTTAAAATTCCAGAATCCCATAAATTTAATCACATGATCATGAATGGAGCATTGATTTATTAGAACATATACATTGCATAAAATTCTAACGCAAGATTTTCAGTATTCTTATAGAAAAGAAACCAATATCTGAACCAAAATCCTAAAAAGATAAAAAAATGGATAGTCAAAAATCAATACGGCGTAAATAATCGGTTTTTTATTCATTCAGAAAATAAATGGTTAATCGGATCGTTGGCACAACATTTATCACGGCCATTTGTCAGATTTTAAATACTTTCTTGCGGAAACAAACTCCGAAAAAAATTAGGGCCATCGTTCTCATTTAAATAGATAAAAACTCAATTTTTAAGTTGAAGATAAAGTGTTCTTAATCAAATATAGGTTTGGTCAAATAATACATCATGACCCATTTTAAAAAGCCATTTACATACCTAATACAACTAAGCGCCGCTTTGGATTTAATATAATGGTTTAGTATAGTCATAATAAATACATTTTATTTATGCGGGAGACACAAGAATACAATGCGGACATTTATGGATTATTAGCAGTCTGAATAACACTCAATAAATTCACTGTTTTGATTTCGAAGTTTTAGGGAGGATAAGCCGGCCACTCTCATCTACTCTGTTTTTCTGCATTATAAATTAAATGTCGTAAAATCATTTCATCTTAATCCTATGAATTGCCGGACACCACAACCAAAAAAATTAAAAATATTGGTTTCTACAAAAGAAATTATTTTTTTATAGTCTTTTTTATAAATCAGCATGCTCTCCACGTACTAATTCTGCTAGTATCCAACCAACCTGTGCCGATCTATAGGGCTTTCGGAGCATAACATCTATTTAAACACCATCTAACTGATACTTTTTGATGAAATATCTTGTAAATTTGGAAAAGGAATAGTATCACTAGTCGTAGCTTTTTATTCTTACCGAAAAGACTAAAAATTTGAAGGAACTAATAGAAAAGTTAATGTTGAATTTCATCTAACTAAAAATAAATCTTACGTATAAATTAATATTGCAGGTGGTGCATATTTAGAACGAGATGACCAATTGAGGCGTCTCATAACAAGAATCGATAGGCAATGATTTCTAAGTGGTAAAGTTAAAAAACGATGATTTTAAAGAAAAAAACTTTCAAAAACTTACAAGGTGGTAAATTAATTTAGTATCCAATGCTTGTAACAAAAGTGACAAATCAATGACATTCATGACTTACGAGGTACCACCAATGAATTTCCTTGTCAAAATTTCATTTAAATTTTATCTTTTCTAGCACTACCATCAGAATCCAAATATAATTCTAAACAAAAATCTTACATTAAAGTGCAGATTAATTATGGCAGATGCCATCAATGTTCTATCAAGATAAATTTAATCAATTTTAGAGTAAACAAATTTTTGAAGTCAATATCGACTACAGTGCTTAAAAAATATACTTGTTTAATAAAAAAATATTGTTATTATATATTGAATGCAAAAAAACATAATTTTAAAAGTTGTGTTTTTTTAATGTGTTTGTTTAAATGCCTAGCTTATCTAACAGGAATGATCGTTCTTGCAGTGTTTTGCTCAGTCACTTTTGGCTCACTCGTCGTGCGGGCGTGCTCGGGTGTCGCGGTTGTCCGTCTTGAGTTCGCCGATGTTTTTTTATGCATTGACGTAGGTTTGTTTTGATTTGATAGGTAGTCATCTCATGAAAGACGATGGTAGTGAGATGCGGTCCTTGCAGCCATCTCCCTACTTCGCCTTTTCATGTGGTGCTACCCCAGACTTCACGTATGCAGCCGTAGTTCGTCGTCAACATTGCCTGTAGACACTGTAATCGCTGTCACAGCCAATATTGATGAACGTACTCGGGCGTCTACCGTCGTTTGTTTTTTTACTGATTTCGCCTAAGTCGCAGTCAGCTAGCGTCCCAAGGGGTAGTGGTCTACACTGACTTTTTGTATCACAGCCCTGCTTGGGACACACACTGGCCGCCCGAACGCCTCGATTGTTATCTAAATAGTGTAATTTTACCCAGAGTTGCTGTATTTCTTCTATTGGAAGTGGATTAAGCTTCCGAATTTGCGCCACCGGGGCCTCGGTCTGTGGTCGCAGTATGGGTCGCAAACATGGTCCTCACCGCTGTAATGCTAGTTGTCAACAGAGTTGCGCCCTCGCAGACCTCGGCGTTCGTTTTTGCTCATTTGATGTCGCTTATCTTTTCGTTGCTACCTTTTGCCGGTGGATTCGGTTCCAGCCTAGCTCTCATCATGTCTTTCCTAAACTTGGTCGATAGTTGTGTACGGCTGCAAGGATGTCGTTAACTTGCAATCTCCCCCACATCTTATCTTCTGTAGGGTCATCTTTCCCGTTGAATGACAATTTTGTCGGGTGGTGCTCACGGCGAATATGTTGTATTAAAATAGGGCTCGTAGGTGGCGTATCCGCGCCCAGAATTGTTTTATGCGTTAATAACTATGGTCCGCTTCGCAATGTCTAGCTTACATCAGCCAACCTCTTTTAGATTCCTATGTTGACCGCAAAACTGGTTTTCGTCTAGCCCCTGTCTATGTTGGTAGTTTAAGTGAGAGTTTGGGAGGTCAGCTACCTGAAATTTCTCATATCAGACCTTTTTTGTATTTGAGAGATTCTGGTCAGTTTCAAACTAGTTGTAGATCGCGTGACTGCGGATTCGCACCCCTTAACCAACTTCAAACCATATCTTGAAAAACCATGTTTCTTCACGCAACGCGTAGACTGCGCACCAGATCGACAAATTATATGCGTTTCTTGCATTTCTTTTGGTGCATCGATCCTGTGAGTCCATTTACTCAGTTTACAGGGGAATCCCACTAAAATTAGTTACTAGTGTAGTTACATAGTGCATTGTGCCAATGACGAAGATTAAGGGCCCGAGATGCTGAATGGAACGACACTACGCTTGGAAAGGCTTAAATGTTTTGATGCATTAGTGGAATGGAAACACAAAGTGCCCCAGTTTTAAGCCATTTTTCCGCATCCTAGCCCGTTGCGAGTTTGGGCGCGAAGTTGAAAAAACGCCAGGACAAAGCAAATCATTGGATTGGCTGGCTTGTGGGCCATTACGCATCGTACTGCGCGTGTCTCTTATTGGTTAACTATGCAGGCAGTCTTCATGTATGGCATTGGCGTGCCGCCACGGGATGCGTCATCCACAATCAAGGCTGCCTGTCTTTTCTCTAGTTCCCGTTTGATGGTGGTGTCTTATTGTGAAATACCCTAAATCATGCTATTTCAATAATTTCTAGAATATCTCTTTAACTGGGTAATCATATAAACGGTGGGAAAACTAACTTACGCTCCGTGACAATTGACAAGGGTTTTACTGTTTCTTGTCAAGCTGCCCCAGACGGTAAGTAAAAATCGGAGATGTTTGATATGTGCGTAACTTTGATTATCGAAGTGACAGACTGTCATAAAATATCGAGATGTCTTGGGGACTTTCGCTTCACCTTGACTCGTGAAAGTAGGGATAATAGCTGGCGGGACATTCTTGCGAAGCCCCATCGATTTTAAATAACCATAAATTTAGTTAGAAGTGTGGTTTCGGACCCCTGACCCCGCTTACGATAGCTCCAACTACAAACCATGTTAATCACCCCCTTCGTGCCACGCTAACACGGCTAAACGTGACTGCCGATTCGCACCCCGAAAACCGTGACAGGGTTGAGACGCGCCCTGCCGGCGTTGGGGTGGGGGGGCGCGGTTGAGGACGAAATGGGAGACTAATCGGATTATCTCGAGGGGCGGACGTGATCACGACACATTCCCCCAACCTGGTTACGCATTCTCCTCGCCCCAGCACATTCCGAGTAAAATAAACAGCCTCAATGTTAATAATTAGTGTCTGTCGGGTTCTGTGGCGGTCAGCTAAAGCCAAATGAAATGCTGTACCCGTTACGGACAAGCTTGTAATGGAATTGGCTGTCTACAAAGCAATGGCCACTGGTTTGCACGCGGCTTGCAACAGTAAAGGTGAAGATTAGCTTAGCAGTTGCCGATTCGACAAACAGCATGGCATGGGAAAACCGCAAAGCATTTGGTGTAAGACCTATTCCTCTTCCTAGAAGAGAATTTTCAAGTTTGAAAGCCAGCTGTGGAGTGTTCTGTTAAGTAACCAAATCCGACTTCTCTTTTGTAAATTAACCCATTGTAGCTTATTACTTAATGCTATTTCCTGATCGGGTGAGTCGAGGCCATCCGATTCTGTGCAAAACGTTTGTGTAGAATGTCCTGAAAAACTACTGTGCGTTGTTTGTATTATGGTTGGGGTAGATTCCCATTACGAAAACTGACCATTCATGTTTGATAGGTCGCTACTATGAGGAACGGTACCGTGACATTCATCATTCCTAGAAATAGTACAGCAGACAAACTACATATGCGACCGTGTAGCGTAGGTACATTGTGTTTTCATTAGATTACCCAAATCACAGATTCTGGTGCTTCGCATTTATTTGGCTGTTAATAAGAATATAACCAACAACAGCAAGGTTCTCCGACTGGTTTAACTGCGTTCACAGCAATTAGGAGCTGAGGTTATGCAGCGACTAGTGAATTCTCATATTGCCCACTTTGGCGTTTAAACATTCCGAAGTTCCACACAAAATCGGACTAGCATCGTGACCAAAGCCCAAGATAGAAAGTGGGTTATTGTTAACCACAGAGGCTAGTGACTTGGGAAATTGCGCCAGACTTTGAATCGGTGGCTCCATCGTGACGAAATAGCTGAACTAACCTCTTCACATTACTAAATCATAGTCATCCTAATATGCTTTGGCAGTCAGAAGTGGTGTAAACATACCTACGAGTAAAACGACTCATCCTCTGGTAGCACCCACTCTGCATCGTTTAGCTGGGCAACGTGATCAAGATAAATCCTAGGCCTCGATGTCAACGCTGTGAAAAGTCCCTTCCCCCCGCCCGTCTAATGAGATCACTTCGGGCTCCATCTCTATTCTCTTACTAGGAGAAGCTAGTCCCGTCGCTTTCCTTCGGTAAACATCTACGTCGAATCTCAATTCCACATCTATTTATGGGTTTGTCCATCACATGACGAAGGAGCGAGGGTTGTGAGTTCACAACTCAGTGGTTATTATTACGACCACCTACGGTAAACACACCCCCCCATCACATCCAAACCTTTGTACACCGATGTTAGTCCTACGTGACATTTGTCTACAATTTGATCTTCTTATTCTCCTCTGAGGACTTCTGATCTGATCAAGCCGCAATCAGCACGTTAACAACTCGGGGGTTAAAATGTTCCGTCTACAACACACTTTCACTTTTAAAAAAACTACTTTTGGAAGAAAGAATTGCAGATCGGAGGACCTAAAGAGATGTATTACACCAGGACGAAACTTCCCTCCCGTTTTGACAAAGACGCAGCAAGAGACCGCAAGCGTCGAATCTACGGCCTAGAACAAAGAGCATCGGGCGGTAATGCGAGCGTACAAGACTCCGGTATCTCACGCTCGAGTCTGATTGGCGGGCCTGCGTGCAGATGCACGCACACGTGCGTGTGCGTAAATACGCGAAAGATGCGACGCGAACGTCGGACAGACATTCGCGCGCTTAGCGCTGCGTGCATCCGACCTCTGGTGGCAAAATCGATGCCTACTCGGCTGTTGCCAAGTTGGTGTACGCACGTGTTGGTTGTCCATTTTTGAGCCCGCAACGTCTGGGTTTTGTGCGCAGGGCGCACGTGTGCAGAGGGGGGCGCCGGACCGTCTTAAAAGTGTGTGTCTGGACGAAACAGGGTCTTCTATTTTTAAACGTCGGGACCTTGTCTTGTGGCCAGCAGGGAAATGCTGATACCGGGAATTTTGCGGTGTGCATAACAGATTTGTAACCGACATTTTCGCGGCAAAAGCTCGACGCGTAAGTGCAGTAGCCGTCTAACTTATGACCGAGCTTGTAAAACGGAATGCATAAATTAATGTTTGTCCAGAGTTTCTTCCAGGCTTGCCCAATGTACTCAGTTCTTGAATGAAACGCAAGCCAATTTGAGACAGCGTCGAAAACAAAACACGGCCGAATGATTCCTAACTCGATTACCTTGTACACAAGGCACCCCCAATGCTTGAAGCCAGTCTGCCTTGTGTTCCCCTGTCAGTCTGCGTGTGACTCACGTCTAACACTAGAACCCCCTTGAATGTCGGTTAACGAGCGTGTGCAACACGCTTTCTCACACTCGTCGCTTTGCGTCGGAAATTGACGACATTTTTTGTTCTACCTATTCATCCCTGAGCACGCGCTCAGTCAATGAAGGTCTACGGATGCGTGTGTCAGCGTAGGTTTGTCGAATCGGATTAAATGGTCTTAATCTTGTACATCATTTGTCAGATAGGACAGTGAAACACAATTTTTCATGTTCAATTCCATGTAATAAACCCACCGGTGTTTTGGACTGCCTTAGGTGGTTTCATTTACTTGTATTCGTTATTCACTTGAGTCGCTGTCCTGATTGGCTCGTTCAGTTTGAATTAATATGCCAATGCTGCTTGAGGTGTGCAGTAGCTGTACGTCCTCCACTCTTCCACCCTCCGAAACAGCCGCGTAGCCCTCATCTGCCAGGCACCATCCTTAGAGAAAATGCGAATTGTACTAGATGTAGCTATCAATGACGCAACGATCAAAATTGTGCCCGCTGACTCACCAAAGTAAGAACTAGCAGTGTTCGAGCAACACTATCTCCTGTCTAGTAGAGTGAGGAAACCACCCAACCTCCATGCCTTCTCAGATAAGACCGCCTTAGCGATTTGGCAATTTACCCTATGACTGATATGTAATGAAGCATCTCCAAATACACCGGCCATATTAACCCAGCTTTCTTCGTGGACTCCCTGATGGTCATTAAATCTCAGATCAAAGGGTCAAGTTAGTTTATGAACAACAAGGGAGGTTGACGGACCAACAATCACACAGTCAGTTGGACTGCACTTTCTGCTTCCGGGGAGTCACGTGTTTTTGTGGCATTTGGCAAGCCAAATCCTGTTGGAATTAGTGCGGCCGACTGACCGCGCTGCTCAGAACTGAGGTCTAGTCTCGCATGCGCGATTGAGACTCAACGTTTGCGCGCATCCGCGGTACTAATTAGCTTGCACAGCTGCACAGAACCATATGCCTCGCTGATACCGGAGTTGGAATGGCCCAGGTCACACAACTAGGAGGCCCCCTCCCCCGCTTACAATCGTGTCCAGCCACCCGGGCCATGCTGGTAAACAACGGGGTCGGTGTTTGACCCACCACCCTCATCCACCTCCGCTTATGGCCTTTTTACTTACATCCCCGGGTTTGTTACACGCTATCCTAGTTGTAGGCTCTAGTTCTTTCTCTTTCAATCGGTCACGCCACCAAGTCCCCCTTGATGAGTTTCGTTGATTAAAGTAGTGTCTTAGTGAACAAGTTATCAGGATGTTGACTTGAATTCAGACATTTTTGTGGGTACCCGTGTAATTGGGGTTGTCACTGGTTCCGATGAATTGAGCCATGCGAGACCGTGTGGCGAGCAGCAAGAGAGCACAGCAATCCTGAGTGAACACGATTCGATCGATTTGCTTGAGTGCACTTCACGTAAGGAAGTTTGTGCAGAGATCGATATTAATCGATCCTATATAAACTTACTTGTTACCTTGTATATGCACACACCACCGCTACACACACACCGCTATGCACACAACACCACCACCACAGCTACGCGCTATCTGCATTGCTTTGCTTCCTTCGGTCGGGCTCTTGTGGGGTTCTCCGACCACATCGGGGCCTGCTAGAGTCACTTTCACGTGCATTTGGTAAATGGACGTGATTTGCACTTATATTTATCTACTGCGAAATGAACTTCTAGATGTAAAATACATCCAGGAGGTTAATTCAAATGGTGTATTTGCGCTGGACAGACTGCGTTGATTTTGGGCATGTCGTTTTCTGGACTTCATTGGACTTAATGACAGAGTTGACGGTAACTTTGCTACCTTTATGCTTAATTTTCCAATAAATTAAAAGAGTACAGTAGATGACAATTTGCGGTTTTAATGCCTTTGGCGAAACGATCACATGTCCGCCGAGCAGCTCTGAGCGAGCCTCGCATACTGATGTACTACTAACTATGTGACAGTAGGACGGCATTATCAAAGGTGGTCTGATTTTTCTTGCTGCTTTTACTGCGAACCATGACCTCAGATGGAGTTCAGGAGAAACACAGCATTGGAAGTTATGGCTTGGAGGTGGTGGGCCTTGACGTGTGAAGAAGCGGAACCTCCCAATGCAGTTAGTATTTCTTGCGCGGGGTGATGACGCTCGTGATCACCTTGATAGTCGCCTGTTTGCAGGGAGCGACGTTCCTGCTTCGACTCACAAAGTCATCCCACTGCTTCTTTTGAACATCGTAGTCTTCGTAAGCATACCTATGGGTCAGGAGGTCGGCAAAGGAGTCGGGTTGGTCGGGAAGAATGCACTAGAAAACGAAAATGACAGTTGAAAACGTCGCCCGCCAAGTAATTAAGGTGGGTGACTTTGTTATTCGTGGATGGCTTGATTGCGGTGTGAAGATATAGCATCGCAAGTGAAATTCGGAATGTAATGAAAAGGTCTTAGATGGTGAGAACACATAGGCATATCCTGCTCCTATGATTTGTATTATAAGTTTGTTATCAATCGCGTTGATCCACACTCGCTAATCCGATCACTCCAGTCTCCGACACAGGGTCCCCCGATTCGCGGCATGTTGCCAGCCGCGCGGATCCTCAACTCCCCCTTCATTCGCACGAACATTTATCCTGGATCATCCTCACACCTAGGTCTCGACGCACGATTCAACGACACCAACGTGGTTGAGCTCTGAAGTAACCGGTTGTGTCCACGTCGTCTCCGGTCTTTTCATCACGGATATAAGGGTTAATTCCGTGGCCCCGGCGTGGTTCAGGACCACATGCTGGGGCCCACAACATGTTAAATATAGGCATAAACTACATAAAAAGATAATGTAATATAATAGTTTATAGGTCAACTCAGTACTTAGGAGACGCTGAATGCGACCTTGAATTGGATTGGATTCAGATAAACGGTTAGCAAATAACAGCCACGAATCGTTTGAGTACACCTCACGTGAGTCAAGGCATCGCCAGTATGACTAATATCTGAGTTGGGAGGAACCAGTTAAGCTGTAGGCATTTTTTTGAGAAAACTACATTGTCATTCAAAAATTACTGACGTCGCAAAAAAATGTGTCAGTGGCATAATGAGTTGACAAATATTCAAATAACGCCCTGAATGACATAGAGGAATTCAATAGGAGGCTACAAGTATACCTGCGGAGATTAAAATTGGCGTGGGTTAAAATTAAAAACTCGGAAGGCCAGACCGTGTTTCAAGCCACGGAAACGAAAAACAAACTACGTTCTCTTGAAAACACACCTGAATAAGAAGCAATTCCATCATGATTTATGGGAAGAATTTAGGGTAATAACGCTTTAAAGGTGGCTTTTCAACACACGTTCACTCAAAACTGAAACACAAAGGTCAGAAGTGGTGGTATTTGGACATGAATTTCGAAAAAAATCCTTATAAATGGAACGTTGAATGAGCAGGAGAGGATTCCAGAATGCTTTTAATTAAATGATTTAAGTCTACCTAGGGGATTAGGATGATACCGTGGTAGAAAAAAATGCTTTCAGAATAATTTATAAAGGGATTTAACTCCCAATTCTTGTAAGTTGCAGAGGCTATTTGCTTTCCTCTCTTAAGCATTATGGCCAATTTTTTGCCACTGTAATTGTGAAATTAAAGTGTTTGCTGAAACGTTTCGATTTTGTGAAAACCGAAAAATGGCAGCTTCGAGCTCCCAAATAAGGTATTTATGGTGATGTGGAGCTAGCTTTACTAACAGCCTAAGCTTGGGGGTGGAGCTGTACACTAGCAACAAACATCGCATAGATGGCCCTATAACAAGCAACGAAGTGTGTGATTATCGACATGCATCTTCATTCGTTGACACTGCAGCTCTTCAAGGCAGGTGATCGCATGCTTCCGCTCTCCTCACCAAGCATCAACGAGGCCTCGAAATGACACCCATTCCGGAGGCATGGCGCTTAGTACGCGCAGCAGGGAAACTTATTTTCTCAACTTCGTTGTGCCAACTTTGGTGACCACAGCCATGTCAAAAGGCGTTTACATAGATTCTGAACACCAATGAACCGTCGGGTTGGTAGGAGTGCACATGACGTTGCACATAGGTTTATCACCTTCAGACCCAAGGCAACCATTTAGACCTAAGGTAACAGGTAGAATAGGCAAGTCGTGTGTTACATAGTCACTAGTAATTCCAAGCCAATGTTGCCACAATTGACAATATTAGCGTGGGTGTCGTGATATTTACACTTTTGATATAAATAAACCTAAAAATACCAATAATGTAATAATGCTCATGATGCCAAATGCGGTTCAGTCACTCAATAACCGTGCATTGCACATTTTTAGTGTTACTGGGAGTTATTCACCAGATCGATTAACGGCTAAAGCAAGCTAAAAAGACCTAAATGGTCATCAGACCGTTCTAATTCCAGACATTAACCACAATTCCACCCGAAGCTGTTTTTAGTAGGCTGAGTCGTTCTTACACAGAGGCGTGGAAACGGGAAGAGAAGAAATTACGGCTTTCTTTGAGGTATTGGGGTTGCATTTGAAGAAATTTCAGGGTTCATAAGCACAGAGGGTCTTGCTTCCTACGATGCATTAGACACGATTTCTTCTTCTGCTTGATTACACGAAATTTGGCATTCACGATATTGGAACATCACACCTGCACTGCAACAAAGCAATGTAAAGCTGTTGGGAAATGATGCTGCCGCTAGTTAACAGCACACAAGTTATAGGTTACTAAGCATGATCTTTAGGTTAAAAATATTCTTTGATGAAATGACCAAACCTCTTTGTGCTACAATTTAGCAATCATAAGCTCACCATACATTTAAATCCCCACGATCTACATGGACACACACACTTTATAAACCAGCTTGAATATGACTTTGCAAAACTGAATGATGGAAACGCTTCATAACATAGCATCAGCAAATTTCAAGTCTGCTTATCATGCTTGAATTATTACCACGCACAACTGCAATAAAAGTAGTCACAACCTTATATTAATTACGACTTGCCAACGCTCACTTAGGTAGTCGAAAAGATGCTCTTTTTGGAGTTCAGGTTTACACTGCCAATTGCAAGCGGCGCGCCCCTAATCAGCACCACGCTGTTTATTTTCCAAGACATGGCTCGAAACGGCGAACCGTGACCTTAGAGAAACGTGCCAGCCAAGCCCATCCCCTACTGCATGGCTAGTCCTCATAAAAACGCTTATAAATTAAAGCATAAATAGGAGGGTACTGGTTTTGTGATTTTTATGCTGCATGGACTCGATCTTCTAGCACAAAAATGCCTTATTTTTCCGATATAATCGGAAGGCGTCACGGCATGCAACTGAGAATACCCCAAGATGGTGCGATTGAAGGCTGCACGAAGACTTGAGAAACTCGTGAAAGACCTAATTTGTTTTACTCGAGACTTGGTAACTAAATAACAAAAGTGAATCGAATGAAGCGGGTAAAAGTAACCTCAATGACGAACACCGAATTCATGGGGCCAGGATGGTTGAGCGTTCGAAAAACATGTTGATTACAGTAATAAATTGCATCAAAGGCTTTTTTTTCTACAATTTCATTTCTAACAATCAGCGATGCAAAATTTGATGAGCCTCGCCATGGCGTGGAAAGCTGCGTCTGTCATTCTTTGGCAATGACGAGGTAGTAAATCCAGTAGCAGGCATTATAGAAGAGGTAGCTGAGAGGAAAAATGAACCGACTGTAGCCGTCCACAATGGATTCAGCTTCCCCCAGTATCCGCCTCTTCTTTACAGGTGGCTGCAGATCTGCCTGGTGCATAAGAACGGCCTCGACATGAGCAAAAACCTCGGCCTGCTGTTTGGTTACCAATGGAGCCCGGTTGGTGCCGAAAGACACCTCCATGTGATAGGCGGCTCTCCACCAACGCGCCAACTCCTCCCGCACAATGCGCCGAACACCCAGACGCCAGCTGGCCAACCGCTCACGCTTCATTACCGTCAGGGCCAGAGCGTACTCGGCCATCACACTGACCACAAATACAATGGAGAAGATCAGCCAAACGTCAATGGCTTTGGTGTAAGAGACCCGCGGAAGACTTGAACTAATGGACACGGCTTGGGTGCACAAGCCCTGCAGACAAAGCAGTCCCAGGGGCACTCTGGCCGGGGCCGCGTCGGGTGGGACCCAAAATCCCACCCACGAGACCATTATGATGAGGGCGTTGGGGATGTACGTGGTCACAATGTAGCTCCCAAGCTGTCGTGACAGGTGGAATTTCACCAAAAGGCAAGTGTAGTTGCCGGTGGATGTTGAGGCCTCTTCAGTGCAATCGATCGTGGTGAAGTTCTTGGGTGTATTAAACTCGGATATTTGCAGGTCCTTGGTGAATTCAAGGGCATTTGCCTCGGTCCAATCGAATCGTAATTCCGGGAGAGTGTATCCATAAGAGCCGATGTTGATATCGCATATCTGCTCATCCATTGGGAAATTATGAAGTTCCATTTGGCAGGCAAATCGAACTGTAATTTTCTGGCTATAGAGCACCTTTCCGTTAGGATAGACTCGGAGTAGGTAGTTTGGAAGGGTCATCTTGTGCAGATACCCGTCTTTCCCATTCCGAAAAAACAGATCCGGAAGCCAAACCTGCTCCTTCAAATTCGGCGACACAATCGGCGAGGTGTAGTCTGAGTGCTCTGGGAGGTGCTCCCACATCAGTCGCGGGTCCATCCACGTTTGACGCAGCAGAGCGTCCACATAGTAGTCCATATTCCTCACATCGACCGAAAATATAGCGAGTATTTTCATATTTATCTTCACCACCGTGGACTCGTTGAGAGATTCCGTAGGCCTTTCATGGGTCTTGTAGTTTTTAAAAATCGTCGCCATAATTTCGTCGCGCTTGCTTTTCGGTTTTAACGGTCTATCTGCAAAACTTGTTGTCTCACGAGGTTTGTAGACATTATACTCGACAGGTTCTGTGGTAGCTAGTGGAGTTGGTGAGGTTATTTGAGCAAATGCGGATAACGACTTTAGGAGGAGAAAAAGAACAAGTGGAAGGAGTTTGGAAGCTGTAGTGCCGACAGTGAACATCATGGCAGATTGCTAGTGCTTTCGCTAACGCTCGGCAGGTTGGATGGGTGAGGAGTGAAGACAAAGGCACGGCGATTGGCCGAGCGACGCCTTGCTTGTGCGTGCGTGCACGCGTGCGCACAGGCCTGGAGGTACAATGCAAGGCGGGGGCAAGCAATGTCGATAGTTTTCAGCTCACGGCTGAGGTGTGGGCAACGCATGAGATCTTTTTTGGAGGGGAACAACGTAACCACAAAAGACACACTGTAATTATTTTGAGACCTGTTTGGCGCAAAATCCTGATGGCCACCGCATTGACTGCCCTCTGTATCTTTTTAGACGTGCGTTGGAACAGGAACGATTAACTAATACAAGTAAAAACACTAATGAAGGCTCATTAGGAGTTGTTGCAAAGAAGACGTGGAATTGGAAGTTGGTTTTGAATTATAACAAAAGAAATCTGACGGTTCATCTTTTTGCTTTAAGTGCATCATTTTGGTATTGCTCAAATACCCTGGATGGTAACGTTCGTGCACACTACACTAAATTTGGACTGACAACGCTAATCAGTTAGCTTTATTGGCGAAATTTAATGCACTGTCATAAGTTTCAAATTATCCCCAAAAATTACTTTAGTAATACTTAAAGCATTTCAGATTGTTGCCAACTATTTAAAGCCTTAATTGGTCACGATTTCATTTTTAGTACCTAAGATAAAAATGCTATCACACGATTGATTTGTGACGAGCAGCAAGAGAGCACAGCAATCCTGAGTGAACACGATTAGATCGATTTACTTGAGTGCACTTCACGTAAGGAAGTTCATGCAGAGATCGATATTAATCGATCCTATATAAACTGACTTGTTACCTTGTGTATGCACACACCACCACCGCATTTATAAATAAGCTGAGCCACACGCTTTCCGCATTGCCTTTCTTTCTTCGGTCGGGCTCTGGTGTGGTTCTCCAACCGCATTGGGGCCTGCTACAGCCACGTACACACGCGTTTACCTAATGGTGAAATGCAATTACTTGCTTCCTTAGGACAGGTAGCCTTGTGTGGAATCAATTTAATATGATTTAAGGGTGAAGATATGAAGATTTTATGATAAGTAGAACTTGTTAGCTCGATGTTTGGTCAAAGTTCTGGCCTGCATTGGAATAAACGATTACGGAAGCCTGTCTAAGGTGGGAGTAGCTGGAAGCACGGCACTTATGGCACAGGCAGCACTGATTATTGCCCCAGCAACTGACAGATGCTTACATTCATAAACGGGACATGACGGCCAAGTTAGTATTTGACTAATCGCGTAACCTGACAGGATGTCACACGTGTGATTGAAAACGGTCAGCGCTGTTAGCCGCTGTATGATAACGATGAAAGCAAAGAAGAGGTTAAGGCACAACACCAGGACAAAGTCCAACGCATCATAGCTAAAAGGAACTGTGGCCTTTATTCTGATTTGATTCGAAAGTTCGCAAAATTATCTCCAGGAGAACGCTTGTACTTTAAACTTCAACAAAGATTAAAAGGAGAAAAAAGACTGTTATGGGTGAATGCTCACCTTCGTGTACTTAGGAGTGCTAGGAAGGATGAATTCTCGACGAATTATGGACAACGGCCTCACTTTCTTGTTGTACTCAGCATAACCTGGCCGCGACTCAAAAAATCTCGGCAGTTTGTTTATCTTTCTCCGCGGCTGCTGCAGAACCGGACAGGGTGTTTCCACCACCTTTTGCGTCAGCGGTTTTGGCGGTTCCTGTTTAAATTCAGTATGGTGCATATAGGTGGGGACCCTGAACTTGTACGGTGGTTGGTTGGGATCGTTGGGTTTATTGTCTCCCAGGTAGTACCACTGACACCTGGGCGGATCCTCCACCTTGCACCTGTTTGGACCGTTCTCGCGAAAGCATAGAAGATCCTTTCGCCCACCCATCTTTTGCAGACGGATTAGAGGAGTGTCCGTGGGACGGAAGTTGGAGTAGGGCTTCACTTGGTTGGCCTGATCTGCACACTCTGGTTGAAGGCCGATTAGAGGGATGGAAGAGATGGGAGGAGCGGGCTTAGGTCCCTTATTCTTCTTCAACGGCGTCACATGGCACATCCAACCGATATTACATTTGTTTGGGTGCATCGTGCCTAAAAAGAAAAATCATAACAAGGGATTTCAAATATCGATTTTAAAATTTGAGAGATTGATAGAATTCGTGAAACAAGAACACTTGGCAATGGGAGCGATTTTTGATAGTTTTGCGGCAGAGCAAACTTTTTACTACAGAAGACCTTGTAACTAAGGCTAGAGGTGCCTTTGGCGACGAAATCCAAGTCGATTGAATGGGAGTCAAGAAATGTCAAAGGGCTAGGAGGTGGCACAGAAAAGTAATCAAGGTGTGCAGAGGATCGCTGTTTTTGGATTTACTCCAGCTTAGAAGCAACTAATATAAGGTATGTAACACAATTGACACTACTTATTTCAAACTATTACAACATTATATGCAATTAGAGGCTACAGTGATTTTAAATTACAGATTTAGACACGAAATCAGTGAAGGTGCCGAAGCATTTTTTGGGCTGGGCTAGGGGTATTTTTTTATAAAAAAGTTAGCTTTTTACGATGTTGGAATAACAGGTGTGGTTTTGTCATCAATAGGTGATTTTGCTATAAGCTTAGTTATCATAAAGTGACCGTTAAATTGGTTTTAAGTGCATTTGCATTTTTTTAAAAGCTGCTGCAAACGGGGAAATTAAATTAAATTAACTGACTAAATATGCCACTGCATTATAATTAGCGATCATGCAGTGACAATGTGCTTTCAGGAATTTTCTGTGTATTTTGTTGAAAAATTATAGCATAAGGGAATTAGGCAATACCTTAGATTTGAACATAAATTTATTTAAAAAAGTTGTCAAACAGAGTAATAGATGCCAAAAATTGCAAACTTTTACTAATTCATTATAATAATCAAAAGGATATATCTCAGCTCGTTGTACATAAATTTAAAGAATAATTTATTAGAAAATGTGCCAACTGCTATGATTTTTGGTAAAATTCTTGAGTAATTAAACGTTAAAACTATCAGCCAGGGTCAAAAGAAGCACAATTACTTAAACAGTGAGCTAGTAAAAAAATTTAAGCGTTTCTAAATAATCGCGTGAAATGTCAGATATAAAATGTTATTTCTTCATTTTTTTACAATAGTTTCACAAATCAAGGCAACCATAAAACATTTAAAATAACATTTAGAAGCAATATTTGACACTAAACATACTAAGGCCCTTCAAATAGCTAAGCAATCACGTTTTAGAAACCAAAATTAATGCAATTGAACTCCGCCTTGGAAAAGAAAAATATTTATATCAGTATAAGTACAAGGAATCACCACAACCAAATTTACGATGAAGAGATCAACAAAACTATCATTTATTAAACCGGCGTGAAAAGAAATCTAATGCACTTTGTGATAGACGATAAAAAGTCTCTTGTAAATAATTGTTGATTAGATACGGACTGGCATCAAACCTATCGAATGAAAAAAACTATTCGGATTTCACAATTTGTACTGTAAGTTTAAAACTGCCATGCACCAGAAATTTTTAACATATATTTTTAAATGTTATTGATGGTAAAAGTCCAGAAAATGCAAAATGTTGAAAGAAGATTGATTTCCATCACAGTACCGAAATAAACTCCGACAATGATTCCACAAAACACATTTAGTCACGTCAAAAGAAGCAAGTATAAGAGGCGAAATACCCATGTTAAATATTAATTCAAACCCAAATGGAGATGACAATTCGTTTATTTTTCGAAAAGAAAAGTAGTAATACAGGTATAGAACTACTATTTAAATTATCATTAATATAGTATTAAAGCGATGGCGTTCATGTTATGCATTTTTTCTACTCGTGTCTCGAAAAATATTACTTGACAAAATTGTGCATGTAAACTAATAACGATATTCAAATGCTTCACGTGCTAATTATTTAATTGCCAACAGTGACCTTGGAAACACATCCAGGAGGCTCAATTATTAATTTAACAATTATCTCCAAGTGTCCATAACTAAGGCTTTAATGTTTTTAAAATAATTGGGTGGTCGTAAATTGTGGGTAATGTTAATCTTATTCATGAACCTAGAGATCCAGGTCAAAAATATCTGGACAGGGGGTTTTTTAGTGTTCCTATGGCCGGTTATCATGATCTATGTGTTTATTTTTCTAAAAGTGTTAAAAAATTCTGAAAAAACAAGTGAAGTTCTTTTTTTTTGTTTTTCTCAAACAATAAACAATCTACTTGACAAATACTTGGCCTTCTTTTAGTCATTGCATAAAAAAATATTCCAGCACATTTTCATAAAAAGGCGCTGCATAATGGTTCTGCCCAAATATGCATGTTAATAGCATCATTTTATTTTTCAGACATTTCTACAAGCCGTTATATAAATTCAAAAATTTTTTTGGTTAATGAAGTCGATCAGCGGATGTTATAAACCTGATACGAAATAATTGAGAGAAGGCTGCCTTTACTTGTAACAATCGGTTGTACCTAACCACCCAAATATAATTTAAGATTGAATTTGTATTAATAAGGAACAAGACACAACTTTAACTGAAGGTAATGAGGTATATTTCATAAACTTGATTAGTGTATGCAATTAGGTATCACTCTTTAAGGTTCATTTACTCATATTTGTGAACAACTTACAAGTATTTGATTGCCTTACAAATCTTAGTCGTTTTAGTTCCCTGTTTACTTTTAAAAATCAAAATGGTTGATAAACTATTTACAGCCAAATGTTTCAGGATGTATTAAGTGGGATTTGCCAACACACTGTAGGGCATTAAGGAGGCAAGTATGCTTCCCTTTCATACAGTGTGACCACATTTCTGAGAAGAAATCACTCAAATGTTCTTGCACTGCACCTAGAAATTGGTTTGCGTGTTATTTTAAAGCTACTTCTTCAGTGGAGTATTGAATGTACATTTTGGGGATCCCGCTGCGATTGTTATTACCTGTATAATTACTATATCGAAGTACGAATGAGAGTTTCAAGAGGTAAGGTTTATTGAGGCATTACACGCGGGAACCATCTATCACTCCTCGTTCAGCTAAGTTCTCTGCCATTTTTTTCCATTGATCATTGTCTCTGGTTTGTTGCTGACATGATTCTTGCAGGCCATTCAGAAAATCCTAAGACGAAGGGTTGGTTGAACTCTGTGTGATATAAATTTGCCCACGCCTGCGCACAAATCCGTCGTCACACCACAATGTACAACATCCGAAACCTAATAGGAAGAAGACTGGTACAACAGAATAGGCTTTATTGACCGATCACGAACCAAAGCCACACATCAGGCGCTTTCCATCCGAGTCCGCCACGCTGGCCACGCCATTCATTATATACTGCTCCTCAGTCGTGTCCTTCTCTGGTTGGCTGCTTATTTTCCTCGAATGCCATTGGAACGCAGAGGGACACAGGATTGGCTGCGGCCAGGTGGTCCAACATGTCTGCGCCCTGATCCGACGCCACAGCCCCACACCACATTAGTTTTTTTGGCTCTTGTCTAACAATGGAATGTTGGCAATCTGATAATGACTCCTTTACGTTTTGTTGCTGTTGTGGACGAGAAGTCCCACTCATCAAAACAATAACGTGGTACATCCATGTCATTTTTGTTTGAACATTTAGCTCTTTGTGCCAGGCCGTGTGTTATTGCTCCGAGAATTGTCGTGAGCGGGATTTCGTAAATACATTGAACCCAAAACATTCTCACGAAGTATGGTGTAAATTTATGAAATACTTTATGGATTATGCCTTTGTTGCTGAAAGTTTCCCATTTAAATTCACTGCTCGTACGCAATTTTGATAACATATTACTACCACAGAGACGACATCTCCATTCTTTTCCTCCTCGAAGTTGTTTGTGTTTTTACGGAACTATGGTGTTTTTAAACTGGGACTTTGGAAATATTTGTTCCATACGTCAGGATATGGACCAGGTAACAATCTTTTCGTTTCTTTCATTCTTTTTTAAAGGTGATGGTTTAAAGGAATGGGGCGGCTTGATATTTGACAGTTGCCTAGTTGAGAAGACCGGTACAGATACGACATGGCAGGACTTTTATAGGGAAGAAAATGCACTGTTGAGGGCATACGCGAGCCCATCTGATGTCATCATGCTTTCTGTTTGCCCGCGTATTTCCTCTGAGGATTTACGCCAAACTCAACTTCTTACAGTTGACTTAAGCGGTTGGGAGGCCTTCTACTCATGGAGAGGGCTGTCGCTCTCATCTCCTCTAGCCTTTCTTTTTCACTGGCCTCTCACAGTTTACTACATACTAAACAAATTGTTTCCAGTGGTTTGTAAGTTTTGTCATCTTCTTGAATTGCCATTTAAAGCTTTTATTTATATAATCGATTTATTTATTATTGTGTCCACCGCAGATCCACATCAAGTCAACCACATATTGGAAAAAAAAACTCTAAATGTTCACGTTATTGGTGCTGAAGCAGAGGTTGACATGCTTCCAGTTTTTAAGGTAAGTCTTCAGCCACCACTGATTTATAGAAGTGAAGCCCAGTTCAAACGTTTTTCTCAATTGTTTCAGGAATTAGAATTTCTCATTTCACCTGCCATCGAGGAAGTGGTGCTTAATTTAATCGGGCCAAACATCTCTCCCTATGCCAGTGGTAAAAAATGGTTACTTTCGCACCGCATGTCAGCGAACATTTGGCGTGGGCATTACCACCAATTTGTTGAGGAATTTCAATCTGGGGGAAACTTTTGCTCGCCAGATTTTGTAATAGGTAGTTTACATGGTGATTTATCATACAAGTTTTTCAACCCTAATTACATGGAGCGTAATTTTGTTAAATAGGTTTCAATGTGGGCTTCGCTGCCTATCCTTCATGGACGAAGACACTAGAATTGCTCAAGGTTAGTTGTTTTAGGATCGTAAGTGGTATCCTTCTTTCAAAGTCTTCATTTATGTTCCTTTCAAGCCCTCGTATTTTTAGTAAAGCACAAGATTGTTCATTCCTTTTCAGGCCATGAATGTACCCTGCTTCTTCACTGATTCGTGTCAGTATTCGTGCATATGGGATTTTCAAGTCATGGATGCCGTAGGATTAGGCTCCGGTTTTGACACATCGAATCCACAATCGGCAATGGCTTCTCTCAATTTAAATCCCTTCAGGAGTCCCGTGAGAATCCGAACCGGAGGCACTCGCTGGCCTTGGTTCAGCAACGCCTTTATCTTTTCTCCATGTGCTGCAGAATTTAACGAAGACGCCCTGGCAGCTAAACTATCTGGTGTGCAAATTTAGTACCCAGTAACGAAAACAAATTATTCCGCCTTTCCACTAAGAAGTCTGTGAAAGGAAACACGCCTACGGCACTGGTGTGCTTGCAGTTGCCAGTCTTCTCGCTGTCGAGATTAGATAACTGTATTACCGACTTGGAAGATATTTTTTTTGCAGTTGTTGCTGACTTCATTCCCCAGTTTCCATTGACCCTTCAAGTATTTTAGGACCAAATCTGTGTTGGAACCATACATGGTCAATATACGCATGCTCAAGATCATTTCCTCATTCCAGGTTGAAAGGGTACACAAGTGGGAATAAAGGCACTTTCACCAGGAAGACTTGGAAGTCTACTGAGTCAAATTTACATGTTATTTTGAACAATTTGAATGTTTGGATAGTTTTTGCGAATCAGGCTTACTGACACGTAATCTAAACTCTGTGGTTTGTTGTAAATTGGCCCTAAAGTACCGCATGTCCTGTGGAAGCTTCCAAAAACATGATATTATTTGAGGTGGCCGCATAAGAGTGAGTTCGTGAAGATTTGTTCGGCAGGCTGAAATGTAACATCAATGAGTTTTGCCCCACATTTTTCCAATAAAGTGGTATGGCATCGTAGTGCTAGGATGATCCTGCGCTTTTACAACCGTCAAAGTTTGCAGCATTTGTGACGTCACAAGCAAAAAGTTGGTATTTGAGTTTCTGTCATCCCTACGTGTTTACCATGGATCAAGCTTAAGTTTTTGGGGACTTGGGCTGAGCTAGGCTTTCACACTGTGATCGTCATATTTTAGGGGCAACGGACGAGTTAGGACTAAAAGACGGAACTAAAACCTGCAAAAGCAGTTACATGGATTTCTTTTCACATTGAGGTCATTCTAATTTGACGGGTCTGATTAGTCGATGCAGGTATCAGGTGCGATGAAGAAGTCCTGGTTAGATGGTGATAAAATCGTTTATTAGGTAACTTAACTCTGTTGTTTGTGCATGTACTTTCAAACGTGTATACTCTTGAAGTCACCAACGTGCTGACTAAGAGAGTGGGAATGAACTAGTTAAAGTACAAATATTTGGATGGCAAGATACATGGTATGAGTTCCAGGAGTTGTTAGAGAAGAATGATGTATGATCAGGTGTGTCTGCATGATCAATGGGGACTAGTTTATGCACAGTAACCATGGGAGCCGCTTGCAATTTGATTTGTTATTTCGTGTTTCAATTATGGATGTGACATTACTCAAAGAACCCATACCCATCTATGGTTTTTCACTTGATTTAAAACGTTTTTACGATGTGGATTTTCATACAAATGCTATTATTTATCGTCTCCCCCAGCAAAAAACGCTGACCAAAACAATTAATATAATTTGATAAAATCAAACGGATTGAGCGTAAACGAGATTCACGAAAATGTTTCCAAGTGCTGAAAATGAAGCTTTTTGAGGGATGAAATAAAAAACTTGTAATTATTTTGAGGAACATATCAAAAGAGAACGTTTATGGTTTTAAGGCACGTGGTTCTTCTACTTGATCAAATAATCTTCTGAAATGGGAATTAAACTTTACAGACTGATTAAGCAGAGCGTATTTTTTTTGATCAAGCCAATTAAATGACGCAGACTTGAAGTCAAACGTTTGATTGGTTACTACGCAGAGTTTCGTGTTCATATGCGGTCACATCTAAGCGGTTTGCATTTGCGTTGATTGCAGAGCGATTGTGAAGTTCATTTGTTCATTTACAAATTATCTACCAGTTTGGCTTTATGCTACTCTTTTTATCTTGGAATTGCCTGTTTTCGGTTTGAGAAGTGACAACAGTGAAAATTGGAAAACTAGCATTTTAATTTGGCCGGTACTATGCGATTACGGTCGCGTTCATGTTTGAAACATGCAACAGGTGGATCTGGTAAACCCAAGAGACAGTTTCGCTCCTCATTGGTTTGCAGCAGGTCGCCTAATATTAGGACCCGGTTGCGCAGCTTTAATGGAAATCGAACCCCAACTCGTCCCACTCTGACCAAAAAACGTGTTGAGGTGGATGGATGGAGTACTTCATCTAACGGAGCATCTGATCAAGAGAACCGTGAGGTGTTCAATGAATCCTTTTTGACTGCCCAGCGAGAAGAACACATCGAACTCACTCCTATTTTTTCTCCACGTCGCTTTTGCTCCGTTAATAAAGATCAAGCAGCCAAGATCAAGCGTCTAAATGCCCGCAAAATCGAATTTGATGCTAAAGAAGTAACGCAGTCGTCTGAAGTAGACGCTTCTGTAGGTGCAGATGAATCTGTCTTGGTGAGTAAATTGCATAGTCTTAAATACTGGGCTTTTAACTCTTCGATCTAGTCAGCTTCCCGTTTATGGATGTGTTATAATTTTTGCTTAACATCTCCATGTTAGAAGTTTATGTGTCTGTTAAACATTTTACCACAGTTATAACCAGTTATCACCATGGGTCGTTACTAACTGAGAATTACCACATTTTGTAGAATCAGTCTTTAGTGGGTGATCCACGAACAAAACTGCTAGAACTTTGCGGGCAAACAGAAGTAAGGCCCTTTTCATCTTTCTTCGATCCTGAGTAAGTTTTTTGGATCTTCTAAACTTCTTTCACAGAAGCCTGGAACACATTTCAAAAGTTGGCGAAGGTGTCTATGGTGAAGTCTTTCAGGCCAACAAAAGCAGTGTCATAAAAATCTTCCCAATAGACGGTGATATTCCAGTTAACGGAGAGAAGCAAATGGAGTCCGTTCGTGTCTATCCCGAGGTTTTTATTTCAAAGTAGGCTTGCATTTTGTACTCTTTCATTATTAAGCATGCTGTTACTCTCTTTAGTGATGATCTATTTTATGATTAAAAATCTATTTTTTTGCTTTTGACTTTGCTATTTGCTTTCATTATTTGGGCTTTTTATGCAACCCGATACAAAATTTGGTACTTAGGTGTTAGCTTTCATCTGATCTATCAAGAAACCTATTTATCTTTTCTTTAGAAAACTTACTGAACTTGGATTTAAGTACCGCCGAAACCGAAGTGTTAATTTCATCCAACTGCGGAAGTATGTTATTTTTAGGAAACATTTTTTGTAATACAACACAAGTTTCATTAATAGGTTGGTAATAACAATTAGTGTTTGCTGAGAAAAAATAAATACGCTTGCCTACCCTCTTTTTGTAATGAAAATTTGTTAATTCTTTGGTCAGAGCCGCTATTGTTTACGGGAAGTGGCCGTCAGAATTGACTGCAGCATGGAAGAAGTACGAGATGGAGCATGGTTCGGATAATGAATGTGTCGATTTCCTCCCCAAATCTCAGGAATGGATGATCCTCGAATTTGATTACGCTGGCAAACCACTCGGAACCATGAAGGTACTTGGTGCTTTCCCGTTTTGAATAGAAAATGTATGTCCCCTCCCCTTTACTGTAAATGTGTCAGGTTGTATTTTCAATGAATTTCATTTTAATGCACAACCAATGGGGTCCGACACGTGTGTCCCGAAATCGTCCCTGTATTTTCTGTTTCATTTACTCGGTTTAAACCAACGTTGAGTCCATACTTGCGATTTTAGCACACCTTATTTAAAACCTATATGGCTCGAATGTATTTCTATAATTAATGCAGGCTTGTCTCTTGCTATGTGCCGTGCCACGTGTCATTTTGGCAAGTATTTTTTGCAGTTACACAGAAAATCTCACACTGTGTAAAATTTATTTTTCTCAAACCACCGACGTCGCCCTCAGGTTTTCTAGCAGTCGTTTTCGTGTCCGCTTGCTTGCCTTAACTCTGTTGAGGGTGTGTCTAGGTCACTTGGTTTCATTTTTCACGCAAACGAAAATTTGTCGCGTGCAAATACCATGCGCTCGCGCTCGCGTTTGTGCAACAGCCATTGGCTGAGATGCTAAGGTCAGTATCTGAAGCCGACTTGACTTTGACGCGTCTAGTTATGCCAGTGAGAGTGTGTGGTCATCAGAAACACTGACTTTCATAGCATTTTCTTTGATGCTACATTGCTGCAATGATTTACATCAAAAAGATTTGGTTTGCAAACCACAAGGGGGATCTTTGAAGCTTGGTTGAGGGATTTGAGGGTAGAAGACAGTCGCCTTTATGCGGTGTTTGATTTAATGGAAGAAGCGATATGTAATACAATCCGGACATCAGGTACAATGCTGTCTGTATTTTCAGAAAGCATCGGTCATTTGATGCCGTTGCGACCTTTCTCGTAGCGTCGTAACTAATTGGCGGTTTGAATGAATACGCGAGGCGTTAAGAATGCGCGCTAACAATTAAAGAAGTCCATGAAATTCTATAATCGTTTGGTTTTGTAGCTGGTAAAATTAAACTGAACTCATGGCCAGCAGCAACTTCAAATGCGTGCGTTGCGAGATGACCTATGTAGGTTTGGTTTTTTATTTCCCCGTTTCCTGGATGTTTGATTTTCCGCGCAACAAAGACCAGAATGAATTCGGAGCAAGCGCTTTCGTGGTGCCTTTCTTTATTCGATTTTCCTTTGCTACCCTGAAGAGTATCTCCTGTGAGGCTAGTGGGTGACGTCTACTCTGTTGTGTACTAAATCCACGGCCTTTCCTAATCGTGGATGTTTTTTCGACCTGTCATTGTTAGTGTGGGGAGGTGCTGATGAAATTTGTGTCTGTTGGCTGTAAAATTACCATCTTACTTCGCTCATTTTGTTCAGCAGCCGGCTTCGTTGTGTCGGGCATGGTGTTGATGTCGTCACCTTCCTCGATCTGTGGGTGAAAGTCATTATTTTAGCAGTTGGCAGTTTGTCTGGTGTGAAACCGTTCGGGTGTGAAGAAAACGCATTATCGGTTTTGCCACATCGAGACAAATCGTTGCGCTACCAACCTGATAGCCAGTTTTTTGTTACTCATCAGTTGAAAAACACGACACAGTTTATATTTCCCGCTCATTGTAATTCATAATTATTACATGCTTAATTTCGAAATTGACTTAAAAGCCATCGAACCGAGGATAGGCCTCCTGAAGAGTAGTGAGTTGCATAAACAGCGTCATTGTGTAATGCCTTCAGTTCTCCTCCCATCGTGAAGCGCGTTCTGTGATTGAGCAGATAGCCATATCCCTGGCTGCTGCCGAATCGGCTCTGCAGTTTGAGCACCGAGATCTCCACTGGCTTAACGTCCTCGTGAAGCCGACCAAGCAAACGAAACTGCGCTACCGCGTCGACGGTGTGGGCTACGCCGTCCAGACCGAGGGCATCCAAGTCTGCATCATCGACTTCACCGTCTCCCGTCTCTGCCACGGTTCGTTCTGCTCTTCAGCTCACCTTTTTTTTGACTGTTACCCAAATCGATTAAAGAAAACGGATCAGCTGTGGGAATTGTTGATTAGAAACGTGGCGTTACTCGAAAAAAATAAATTCGCGAGGTTCTATTTCTCACCTCGTAGACGTCCTGAGATATTTGGTCGAGTTAAAATCCGCTTTAGTTATCGCTTAGTCATCACCGCCCGACTCCACCAATTAAATCGATACCCATCCTTCGATAACCATGACGTTTGTGGTTGGCAGTTTTCAGTTTTTCGCATTGTTTTAATGCTCAGCAATACCCCTGGACCCGTACTCTCATTCAGACTAAATTTTCCTACCACTTAATCTAATTTAGAAGGTTCGCTTAGTTGAAGTGAATGATGCGCTAGTGCCTTTCGCCACACAAATTGATGTTTTACAACTTGTATGCCTCGGTAGATTACAGGTCCATCGGCATGCTTGTTGCTTTCGTATTTTATCATACCGTCTACTTTTTATTCGTGCGAACCGCGTTCGGACTTGGCCGGTGGTTCGTAGCATCACGAAGAGGAGAAGGCCTCCTCCTCTTTCCCCTCAGCCAATCCGCCTTAGTTTTCTATCTGTTAGAATCCAGAGCGCGCAGCGTTGTTGACTACGAGTTGATTTGCATAGGTCGCGTCAATCACGCACATCTTGCCGTAAAAACAACTATAATTCTCCGCATATTAACTGGTACACACACACACGCGCCATTGCACATTTTTCTAGTGAAGTATATCCAGTCGACTGATTGATGCAGAGCCCTGTAGACCTGGTGAGGTGGGAGTCGAAGGTTGCCCCTGTTTTGTTTTCCCCGCTTAAACCTGTGCTAGCGAAGGAGCCGGCTCACAAGGTGCCTTCTGTTTGCCATTGTAGAAGGCAACATTGTTTACGTGGACATGTCCAATTCTCCTGAAATCTTCGAATGTGATGGTGACTACCAGTTTGAAATCTACCGGATGATGCGTGATATGAACGGGTAAGCTGTCGCCGAATCATTTCTCGCACCCACTGTTCCAGTGGCACACTTAGCATATACTTGGTTTCCTTTTGGCGGTGGGATTTAATTATCGTTAACGGCAAGCGTTTACTGCAGGTTTGTTATTAAGACGGATTGACACGTCGAGCCCGCAAAGAAAGGAAGATTATTCGAAACGTTCGACACTTTAAGCTTCATTCGACATGATTACCGCTCGTTCAGTGAGCATGTTGTAAGCGATTATCTCTAAGAATCAAAATTAAAGCAATGGTTAAATCAAGCCTAACATGTAGATACCGCAATTACCGTTTTATGAATGTCAGTAACTATCAGCACATAGTTTCCAGGGTGATGGCTTCTAGGTTGTTGCGCACTAATTCTAGAACCTTCTTTCACCTACTGCTTCGGCCTAGAGGGTAAAGAGCGATAAGCTTTCGTGAGATAGTGTAATATTTGAACGTAGATGACCGTCTATAAGCGTTCGCGACGACTTTGTAGCGCATCTGGGGTCCCTTGTAGTCATGGCACCCGAGGAAACAGGTTTAATTTTCATGGTACTTAATGAATTCATATAAAGAGCACAGTTACTTTGGTGTTGTATGAATTTAAGTGCAACTTCTTTAGTATTTCAGTCTTTGGGCAATTCAATGCCTTCTTGCTCCTTGTTGATCCGTTTTGGGGAATAGACCTGAATGTAATACTTTTATTACTTTGTAATAATTAGTAGCCATTTTATTACCAAAACAGAAATGACTGGCGGCCGTTTCGTCCAATTACGAATCTGTATTGGCTGCACTACTTGATGGAGAAGCTCCTCCATGAGACGTCCTATCCCCGACGGGATCCGGACTCGCAAGCTATCCAATCGGAACTCACCGCCCTCCATGACAGCGTGCTTTCGGGCAAGTACGCTTCTGTCGCCCAATTGGTCCGATCAAGTTTCTACTTCGACACCTGCCGGATCGATTGAGCGGAACCATGGTGTGATGTGCATTGCATTTAACCCCTCTTGCATCCGGATTCCCCTTTTTTATCAACTTCCCGGTACCTGCCTTTGTTTGACGTCGGGGTGAATGGAAATCCTACTGTATAAAATAGTGTTTTCCCAGCTGCTCACTTCCTGGTACAATAAAGCTGAAAATTCTGTATTTCACATTTCGAGCACGTGTGAGTTTACTGTGTGTTCGTGCGTTTCGTGCATAGAAGCCGCGGGTCCTGTACTACCACTTTGTTCATCTGGCCAAATATGCGGGTGTAAACCATGCTTTGATTGGACGGCGTCGGGTGCAGTCGTGGGCTGGTAGTTTTCGCAGCCACCAATGTCACTATTTCACGGTATTAAGTTGCCGACGCGCTCTCAGTTAAGGCATGCTTATGGCACGGGCCGAGAATCGACTTGCTGAAGCCTCCGGCGTTGCGATGGCCCGATTGCCAACTCGGATACCCGGTAGTCTAAGGATAGTGGAGGTGGCAGAGACAACCGTTTGGTTGGTGGCCCGACTAAGTCGCGATTGCTGCGTCACTGTGTATGACCAATGTGGGGTCTGGGTTAGTCTTTTAAAGCGAAAATTGCAGAATGGTGCGATGAATGGAACGAGTGGCGGGGCGGGGCGGTGCGTGCCCAGGGGGTGTGTGAGCAGACGCTCCCCAATGCCTGACTGTGGTGGCGGTGTGTGTGTGTGTGTGGGAGAGTGCAGCGACGGTGTTGGTGGACGTGCGTCAACACGATTCACCACAAACCAATTCCACCCACTCTGAGGGCGTGGCAACGGGTCCGCCGCGTTTTAGACCCACTTGAGGCATTTGAGGACGCCGATCAACCCCATGTCTTTCGCGTCGTGCACATACACCATCATGGGTGTGCACAGGTGGGGCTGTCAACCAATTGAAATTGGCGGATCTGTTATGAGTAACATGGTCACATGCGCCCTCTTAAGCAATTGGGTTGCTGAGACATTGGATTGGCGTGAGCTTTACTGACACACCACTTACAAACTACTCGCTAGACGGATAGCCAATGGCAATGAAGCGCTGTTTTTATTTTATTGTTACTGTGAGGCGTCTTCCATTTTTTTTTACAAAAACGTAATGTTTAACATCACGTTCGTCCCGATGGTCTACGAAAGCGACAATTTGACTTGTGTCGTTGAGATTAAATTTATCTGGTTATATAACCTGTGGAACATCCCAACAACTTAGCAAAATAGGAATAGCCTTTGTTTGTACTACGTTGTTGTTGTTGCTTAGGTTGGTGCAGTGACTCTTGTTGATGCACGTTCGTCAGCTTTGTCGCCGCGTCCACCCACACCCCCCTTCTCACAGCGTGCCTGTCAGGCAAGCAGGACCGTCTGCCCACACACCCCTGCGCACGTTCCCCCCTTCCCCCGCTACCCGCTCCATCCGACTGGCCGTTCAATCATTTTTGCTTGGACTACACCACCCAAGCTGCACTAGTGAACAACTTGAGTTCTGGACGGCTTTGAACAAACACGGCTGCGGAATGCAATAAACGGTTATGTCCTCGCCATCTTTGGTCTTCCCGGTACCTTTGTACCGAAATCGGCCCAATTTAGCGCGGCGGCCCCAGTGTGATTTTGGACTGCACACGGCGGGGCCTTCAAGTTTTTTAGATTGTACATCATGTGGCTTAGTATGGTCGTAAGTTTGTAATTCGAACAAATGTCCCCGTTGTTTCAATTGCCCAGCCGTAGCATTGGGCAAAGTTTTCCAAGGTAAGAAAAAATGCGGGCGCGAACACAGGACAAAGCATCCATCCTGTGCTGTTCCCTCGCCTTGATGCATCCTAGCATCGCAAAATGTCTTATCCCACTCACCTAGAGTGTCCCCTTTGGTGGCTAACGTCTGACCAATGTGTCGCATCACATAGGGTCAAACGTGTATGACTCCAAGCTTTGCTTGTTGTTCCAGCCACTGGGGCTTGTAGTCGAACCTCCCGGGATTGCTGACGAGATCCTTGTCTAGTTTAACTTCCTCTGCAGGCTGAGGTACAAATCACATCATCTTGCATCAGTGCAATAATCCTTTGAAACAAGGAGAATGTAAGGTACGTTATTTGTTGACGCCAAAAAATCCAAGAACAAGGTATAGGGTGGAAACATGTTGCACTAAAACGGTGGTTGCATCACTTCTGACGTCACATGCTCTCTGCTTCACACTCTCAGGTACCAATCAGAGCCAATTCTTACTAATCCATCAGTTTAAGGTCACCTGAATGAAATATATAAACAAATACATGGCGGGAACACCGGGTATTATCTTCTTCCTGGCAGACAAGGGATTGCGCCTTGATTAAGGGCAAAACGTAAGAGAAGGGGGCACAACACGATGGGCACAGCCGTTTATTTACCCACCAGGCATGATGTGTGCAGTTGTGTGCGCAAGTGTGTTCACAGAGGCCAAGAGTAGCTTACAAACACCAAGTAGCCCACGGTAGACCTTTTCACACAAATTTCCTAGCACTCGCATCCGACGACTGTCCTCTACAGCGCGTTGGAATTAGTGCTTATTAAATGCCCACCGATAGCCGGGCTGGGGGCTGGCCTGCCAAACTGTAGCAGATCACTTGGCTGCATGGTCCCCCTTGCTATTTGTAGCCACTACAACGTCCTGGCAGCTTGTTGCTACAATCCGAATGTAAACTTTCGCTAGATTTGATTTGGGATTATAAGGGAATGCTCAATCCTCCTCGCTATTCTTAAACAACTACACCCAAGATATTCATTTCAAACACCGATAAACGATGCCAGTTTTGAACTGAATGAATTTCCAGTAGTTATACGACGTAGAGTCAAGCATGCCTTCTATAGCGATCGGTTTTTGTTAGTATAACTTTCTTTATGGGAAAATAAACTTGTGGTCTCCAATGTTAATACGTGTCGAGAATGTTTCGTGTTGACGTTGTCTGGGGAGACCTCTAACCACAGGTATGCGCTCTGCTTCGTTGACGTCACCAAGTGGGTGCAGATCAAAAAATTTTCAAGCTAAATAATCGGTTACTGTGTACTGTTTTTAGCGAAGCGTCTAAATTACCTTTTTTAAGCAAGTTCTACTACGTGCACATCGCTATTCTCTACTGATTTTACGATGTCGTAAAGAGCGAGCCTGCTTCTGATAAAGCGGAATTTCACGAATCACTTTGAAGTGACTTTTAATATTCCGCATTGACTATGCACGGTAAAGTGTCTGCTAGCTGCGTCAGGCAGCTGATTTTTCCCGTTCGAATTTCCAAACCAGTTTGTATTGGAAGATCTAAGATTCGCCTACTTTTAGAGGCCGAATTTCGAAAGATACTCAAGCATCAAGAAATGACCTGAGTGTTCAATGCACTTACATAGTAGAACTATTAACAACGCCCCTATCAAGCCTCGCCAGTACGTGCAACCAGAACCACGATACGACACGGTTTATCGATTTTACAGCCACGTGCCAAATTGGGTGAATTTCAATCTCTAAAGTGGCTGTAACCAGCTTATTTATAGGTTTCTACAAGGACTAGGACTTCCTTGTTGATTCTTGTTTCACGTGCTTATTTTAGCAGAAAAAAAGAATGCGCCAAAATACGATCTGAATTACTGAAGGTGTTTCCATCTCCAGCTATGTTTTAAATAAATTAATTGTGTGGGAATCAAAATTACAGAAAGGAAGAAAGGGCAAAAGATCTCGAAGCCCTGCCTTGAAACGCTCCGCGAGTAGAATCGTTGGGTGAAATTCAGGCCAAGTCAAAACAGCTGTCAATCACCATGACGACTCGCATTAAATGACGTTCATCGATTAGATCTACGTAGGGCTAACTTATGACGA